CCATATTGTGATTAAACTACTCTTAAAGGAACATATTCAAATAGTTAGAGAAGGAGACAACGTTGCAAATTAGCAGTAGAAGGCAAATTTAAAGGAAATCGTGAAACATTTGTAAAGCACCTACCACAGGACAAAATCATATAAATGATGACAATCAAAGACAAATCTCCATGAGGAGGACAATTGAGCCTCAAGGCTAGTTAGCAAACAATAGGAGAAAAACCTGTGATCCTCAAGGTTAAGTATGTTCGGAATAATTAGGTATTTTCCTTGGTTCAACATGCATTTTGAGGTGTTTTGTCTAGATTTTCGCACGGACAAATTCCCTCAGGTTCACAATTTAAAGCTAATGACATTATATGATTTCAGGGTCTGTAAAGTAGCTATAATATTTGTGCGCTTGTAACTGTTTTTGTACTCATTGTTTCGTAATTTTTGCAATTTTTATGTTTTAGTTTATTCTTTTTATAAAGTGGCTTGACGTATTTTTTGCGTCTATATTGCTTTATTTTATGGTTACATTCCTTAAAGTCTTCCTACTCATCCCCTTTGACTTTCATCTCAGCCTTATTGAATTACGGATGGTTTGACAATGCTTTATTTGATTTCCCTAGGTATGTACATTCCATTGAGATAAAAGCAATGGAAAGCTCCTTAAGCTAACCATCACAACGTTGTAATACAACTCCTCCTCCTTACAAAAAAATTTACCACAGACCTCAGACTTGATCCCTTCCCAGAATGCTGGATTTAGCTCCACTTAATGCCTTCTTGTATCCGATGGGAAATCCCGAGCCGATAAATCAATGTACTGCTAATAGTGTTGCATACTCTTGGAAATAATCTTAACTACGACATATAGACGTTCGTGTGTTATATTAGTTAATATAACACGCGGACTTCCGATTTGACGACGGAATACATTTAGTATGTCTCCATACAGGTGGCAGTAGAAGCAAAATATTGCAACCAAAGTTTTAAATTATTATAATTATCACATCGAGGTAGTAGTTCTCCAATTTTCATTGATAACGAGTGCAGCGTTTTGACACTTCCCAACGGATAGAAGGAGCAGCAACTCGAGCTGGATACATGTACTTCAGGGAGAGCAAACTAAGTAAGCCTGAGCATGACCCGAAGGCCGGTCCGCGCGTACAGGTGGTAGACAAATGTTAAAGTGAAGTTAAAATATTTTATGCTCGAAAGATACTGTGTCAGCGTTTTT